ATTCTCCTGCCTCAGCCTCCTGAGTAGCTGGGATTACAGGCACGCGCCACCATGCCCAGCTAATCCAGCCACAACTCTTAACAGTGTTACAATGGCAGTTAAGTTTCAACATTGGTTTCAGGGGAGACAAACATTCAAACCGTAGCAATCACTACCTAGTACAATACCTAGCACATAGAATATGCTCCGAATAATGCAAAACGAAACAGAGAGGATGAAAAATGAAAATAAAAGAAGGGAGGTAAAAGGAAAGGACCATCAGAACCACTAATGTGCACTCATGTCATGCTTACAGAAGGGGATACTGGTCTAAACGCACTTACACCCTGCACAGCAGTCTGACAGAATTTTATTCCATTTTCAGATGCGTCAGGAATGAATCCTTGGGCAGACTGGAACATTTCTCTGAGCTAAATGTTCAATGTCTAAAGTGAACCTCATAATTCTTTTTCAAGATGGAGTCTCACTCCGTCACCCAGGCTGGAGTGCAGTGGCATAATCTCGGCTCACTGCAACCTCCGCCTCCCGGGTTCAAGTGATTCTCCTGCCTCAGCTTCCCAAGCAGCTGAGACTACAGGTGTGTGCCATCATGCCTGGCTAATGTTTATATTTTTCTAGAGATGGGGTTTCACCGTGTTGGCCAGGTTGGTCTTGAACTCCTGACCTCAGGTGATCTACCCACCTCAGCCTCCCAAAGTGCTGGGATTACAGGCGTGAGCCACGGCACCCGGGCTGGACCTCATAGTTCTAACCTCAGGGCATAATTCAAAGATCTGAAGGATACAGTAGACATAAAAACTTTAGTCAAATAGGCCAGGCACGGTGGCTCAACCCTGTAATCCCAACACTTTGGGAGGCCTAGGCAGGCGGATCACCTGAGGCCAGGAGTTCAAGATCAGCCTGGGCAAAATGGTGAACCCTGTCTCTATTAAAAATACAAAAAAAAAAAAAAAATTAGCCAGGCATGGTGGCACACACCTGTAATCCTAGCTATTCAGGCAGCCGAAACACAAAACCGCTTGAACCCAGGAGGTCGAGGCAGCAGTGAGCCAAGATTTCACCACTGCACTCCAGCCTGGATAATAGCCTGACCCTATCTAGTTGGGGAGTGGGGAGGCTTTAGCCAAATGCCTGGCTTATATGAAGTGATAGCGAGTACTCACTCACTCAACAAATTCTCATTGGGTGTCAAACGCCACACACTGTTCAGGGCCCCAGGAATACAACATGGTTTGGGACAGACAGACAATACCGGAACGGGATGTGAGATTGAGCCCTGTGGACACCTTGGAGGGAACAGCTGGTGAAAGACCCTGAAATGTGCCCAGCATGAGGACCTGCCTCAGGCCCAGGTGGCTTCCCTTCCTGTGTACCCAGGTCCCTAGGACATGGGACAGCCAAACACTTCTTATCACTCACTTGGACTCTTGACTCTGGAACACCAATTTCCTTAGCAAGTTGTTCTCTGCAATCAATCCCAGGGTATGGGTTTTTCATAAATGCCTCGATGAGAGTGCGTAATTGAGAGGTGCTGTAGATGGTCCGACACCGTCTGGCTTCTCTACCTAGGGAAGGCATGAAAAGATTGGTGGGGGGGGGTGGTCAAGGAATATTTCAAGGGTCAGTTCAGATAGTCAAACACAGAATCACACTTGTCACTCTCCATCCCATTTCAATCCCACTGACTCTTCCTGAGAGGATTTTGTCCCAGGTCCATTCCAGGTGGAAGATTCTAGAGGGGACACAGGATGATATGTCTGGGCTTCTGGACTCCCAGCAGAAAGAAAGTAGGCAAGAGACAGGTGCAGTGGCTCATACCTGTAATCCCAGAACTTTGGGAGGCCGAGGCAGGTGGATCACGAGGTCAGGAGTTCAAGACCAGCCTGACCAATATGGTGAAACTCCCATCTCTACTAAAAACACAAAAATTAGCCAGGCACGGTGGTGCATGCCTGTTGTCCCAGCTACTCAGGAGACTGAGGCAGAAGAATCACTTGAATCAGGGAGGTGGAGGTTGCAGTGAGCTGAGATCACACCACTGCACTCCAGCCTGAGTGACAGAGTAAGACTCTGTCTCAAAAAAAAAAAAAAGAAAAAGAAAAAGAAAGTAGACAAGAGAAACACTCAGAAGGTCCAGGAAGAGGGCAGGGGAGAACTTCTAGGGAATGATGAACACTTTGCCTCATAAGACCCTGAAAAGCATGTCATCAGGGAAGAGATATTCTTTTCCCAATCTAAGTATCAGTTGGCCCTAGCATAGAGAAGCTTGGCTGGGAAACAGAAGTGAGAGGGCTATTTACTTTGAAGCTCCATATCAGGTTGGTCTTGCCCATGGCTTTGGCTTGATTCTAAAGTCTTAGGTCCTGGTGTTTTCTGGAATCCGAACCTAGCTCTTCGATTCTGAAACCAAATCTAAGTGAGGAAAAGAAAAGGAGAGAATTATATGTTAATTTCAGCTCCATCACTGCCTGTTCCCAAAGTGAGCAATTCTTATTGGCTACCCCTAAGCCCAGAATTATTACTCATTTCTGTCACATTCTACAAAGTCTTTTCTTTCTTTTTTTTTTTTTTTTTGACATGGAGTCTCACTCTGTGGCCCAGACTGGAGTGTAATGGCACAATCTCGGCTCACTGCAACTTCCACCTTCCGAGTTCAAGCCATTCTCCTGCCTCAGCCTCCCAAGGATTGGGATTATAGGCATGTGACATCAAGCCCGGCTAATTTGTGTATTTTTCATAGAAATGGGGTTTCACCATGTTTGTCTGGCCAGTCTCAAACTCCTGACCTCAGGCTCGGTCCACCCGGCTCGCCTTCCCAAAGCGTTGGGATTACAAGCATGAACTACCGCACCAGGCCCATCTACCAAGTCTTAGGACAGGACTTGGCATTCACACCCAGGGCAACATAGTGTGACAACATTGTCCCTACTAAAAAA